CATCTATTACAAATTTAATATATTACTTATCTGCTACAAAGTAGTTGACAAGTTCAAAAATAAAATTCAGAGAAAACATTCAGACTAAACCGATTAGTGAGAAGACAATAAATTATAAAGTAAATTTGAATAGATGCTTAATGAAGAGTTTGTAGCTTATTAATTAGTATTTGATCAACTTCAGCTGTTAAAGATTAGATGTTCCATTTAAGAGAAAAGGCAGGCTATAAGTTTTTGAATATATGTACCCTAGAAACAATAAGGTGGATTAAATATTGAGCCATTCTATTTAATAGACCTAAGAGATGATCTGTAACATTTTGTCAAAGGTAACAGAGAAGATCAAGAACTGATAAAGACAGTAAGAATCAAAAAAAAATAAAGCAGCATATAATAAACAAGATATTGAGACAAGACTTAGTGGAAATAATTAAACAATCTTCAGAATGCAGCGAGATACATATATTTCTATCCTCTTCTTAGATCATATCACATTTGAAATCAAATAAAGCTATTTTCCAAATTACAGAAATGCTTTTTTTTAATTTTTTTAGATATGGCCAATTTAGTTCCGCAAAGGTTCTATTAGATCTTCCTAGGTATTGATAAATGAATTGCACAAACTTGCTCAACATCTTCACAACAATATGATGAATATTAATTAAAATATTACCATTCAAAATTTTATTTTTATTTATACTTTAAGATATTAATTCTACTTAAATCAAATTATTCTTGATACTAAATCTAATCTTTACTTATTTTTGATTTAAAGATTTTGGATTCCTACTTAATAAGCAAATATCTAATTTTTACTTCCTGTTTATAAGATTATGAAGCAATTCATTAATAAAAAATGGAAGCTATTATTTCATTATAGTTAGCCGATTCAATTTTTTCATTTCTGAAATAAAAGAAAGCTATTTTTAAATCTAGTGGTGAGCCATCCTCATATTTCCATCTTTGAATTATTTATTTATAATAGTCTTCGTTTCTGTTTTATAAGATTATGCAGTAATCATTCAAGTACATATATAAAAATTTCTATTGATGAAGCTCTCCAAATCATATATAAATGGGAATAATTTTATTAATATTCCCTAAATTCTTCCTCATTTTATTTCTTTTTTATTCAATTTCGGATTTTTGGAAAAATAATTATTGTAATTATTTTAAAATTAATTAAGTGTAAATTTGGCTGGTATTTTTTTATTTATTCTTGTTTAGTTTAAAATTTCTTACTATCCAATTTGAGTTGAGCATAATTGTTGATTTTTAAATTGATTGATGGCTTGCTAATCTTAGAAATTGGAGAATCTCTAATGCAAACTTATTCAATGAAGTTATTGATTTCATCAAAAGTTGACTAAAAGATTTACACTCTAAATACATCTAATGCTCCTTTGAATTCCAATTCAAATTTTCTATTAAATTTTTTTTTTTGCTTTATTATATCTTAAGGATGAAAAACAGTTTTAAGATATTTATAATGAGAATTGTTACTAGCTTGAAATTTTTTGAAGATTTAGCCATCTAATTATGATGAGAATTTTTTGAATATCTTAATAATTAATTATCTGTAAATTCTATTTTAAAGTATAAAATTTTTGCTCAAAATTGTTCGTCATTTTCAAAGTGCAATGGTTTGATTTAATTAAATTTCCTTTTGACTAAATTTATTAATTATTATATTGATTCATCCGTATTCAGGAAGTCATCTAGTTTCATAACAATTAGCCCTCATGTCAATAATAGTTTCTTGTTTATGATTTTAATCTCTAGAGCACAATCAAGTTATTATTAATACAGTTAATTTTTTGCTTATTATTGATGAAGTTAAATATAAAGAAGTAAATTGATAATTTTTGATAAAAGCGAAATTTGGAAAACCCTTTATAAAGTACTTCAAAACATTTATGTTGAAGATGCTAAACATTTATCATATTAATGATGTGAAGATGAAAAAATAAGTTAGATAAAAAGGCGAAATAATTTTTTGCAAGAAAACTCGTTTGTATTGAAACTAATATCAACATTTTTAATATAAAGAAATTTGAGACTTGCATTTTATACTCTAAATTTTAATCCTTAAATCATATTTTGAGGATTAAGCTTTGGAAGAACTTCAAATTAAAGGATTAAAAGTTTGAAATAGATTTAATTATGAGGGAAGTTATAATTTCAATATATTAAATGAAGATAAATCTCAAAGATTATATTATAATGATTTATTAAAAAATCCTAATCATTATATTAATTTAAATTTAAAAAAGGCAATTAAGTCAAACCAAAATCACATTCTTTAGCATATTTATGGCTTGTTTTTGCTTTTATTTATATAAATTTCTAATTTAATTAATAATGAAACAATATGATAAGAAATAATATTGTTTAATTTCTAATTTATTAATTTATAATTATTAGTCTATTTCTTATGATAATTCATTAGAATATTTTATTTTTAAATTATTTAGGAATAATTTAGATCGTATAATTTTTAAATAGATTATAAATTTTTAAATTATATTAATTTTAATAATGTGTATTTAAAAATTTACACATACAAGATTTCTAAATTTATTGAATTTTTACCTACAACTACTTTATTAAATTAAAAAAAAACTAAGTCCTTTATAATAATTTTGTATCATTATTTTCTTTAAAATAAATTATTTGAATTCATTCATATAAAAAAGATCACGAGATTTATATCATTTTTAAGCTTATGATTTTATTCTTAAATTTTAATTTTTGAAAATGGAGATAAATATTTATTATGATTACACCTAAAGGAATGTAGAAAAATTTTAAAGACAAATTGATTCATTTATTGAAATACTAAAACCTATAACGATGAAGTAACTAGATGGAAGATTTTAGGAAAAGGATTGTAAATTTCAATTTGAATAAAAAATCTTACAAAGCCCCACTTTAAGTAGAAGGAAATTTAAATATAATATTATGTGAAATTTTGTTGGGTATAAAATATATGTTAGAGAACTTTAGTTGATAACGGAAGGTAAGTTGGAGATAAAATTAAAGAATTTTGTTTCTAATCTGGAAGATATCATATGCATCCAGAGAAATATGATTCATAAACATTTAATGAGGTTAAATTAATACTTGGTTTCATGAAGTTTAGGACTGGTTTTGTGAAAGAAAGGATTAAATATCTTACAACATGAACAGAATTATAGGTATATAATTGAAGAAGACTGCAACGCATTAAGTTTTGAGAAGAAAGTTTACCCAAAAAAAGTATATTATCAGATATTTACTTTAAAGAATACTTTCAGAAACCCTACGAAATTTTCAATTCAACAATGCATCTTAAATGTGAAATTGTGCATTATTTTAAAAAATTACAAAATAGAGTTAATTAATAAGTTTGAAGCCCAGAGAATGTTGTCTAGAAACAACATATTAAAGATTTGATTTTATAAAGCTTCAATAGTTTGGATTCTTTCATTAAGCTAAGGCCTAAAAGATGCAGCTTTAGGTCAATTAGGATTAGGGTAGAATCTTCTTAAATCTTAATAGATAAACTTGTTTAGTAGAAAAGAAGGAAAGAGAGCAGACAACCTTATTACATTAAGATGCCTTAATTTGATAAATTAGAGAATAGTAGGGTGGATTTCGCAAAATTGTTTTGTATAACTGAGTGAATTGAGATTCTGCTTGTAAAAGTTTGATTAATAAGGTATATTTATGAAATATAATAATAATTATAGAAATCAATTCATATTCAAATTATATTTGACACCTTCTTTAAATTATTCAGGACAAAATTATTATAAAAATTTCAACTAGAATTAAAAAGTCAATGTGCTTAGTCTGCATTTGTTATTGGATTGTCCATGCTTTTAACATAAATAGATTTTTGGATTGTTAAAGAATACTATTACAATCTTTTTTAATCCAAAGATTTTATTCTAAGAATAATCAAGAGGAGCAATTTAGGACTTTTTACATGATTTTAAATCTTACCATTATTGATATTCTAGAAGAAGAAGAAATTGATCAATATATATTGGAACATATATAAAATTTACCTCTTTCATTATTGGTAAGTTATAGATGGCTTTGTCAATTACTAAATTCAAAAGATAATTTTCTGGCTATTGGAAAACATTAAATCTAGGGGCAAGAAAAAGGGAAAATATAAAATCTCTAAATTCAGTTACAAAATAAGACATACTTTTATCTGATCATAAACCTCAGAGAATAAAATTGAAATTAAGAGATCAATAACATACTTTACATGTCCTACCTAGATCATGATTAAATGACAATGAAGACAACATTCATGATATATGATTAAACAAAAATTGATAGTTAATAGAGAAAATTAGTCTGTAAGGCTTGAAAAAAATTCTACCCTCCTGTCGTTTTTTGAATAAGATGATGAAAATTATGTAAAAATTTATGACATACCTGGTGAAAATGATGAGAGGAAAAGTAAAGAGAGAAAGAGACTAGAGGGTAGAATTAATTACTGATTTATTCTAAGAAATTGAAGATAAATAAAAGAAGAGCATAACACTGAGATCAAAAAAATATCGGATAATAAAGAATAAAGATGAAACATTGAATTATGAGGGATTAGGAACTTATGTTATCAGATGCCATGGAGGAAATGAATAATTGGAAAACCAAAGATGATTAGAACACTCTTCAATAGTATTTGTTTAAGATGCTATACGAGGAAAGAGATTGATTCACCCTTTATATGAATGTATTATGGCGATGTCTACTGGTGTAAGTAGAATTTTAACATGGTTATTGATATGGAGGAGATAATTTGTGAGGAGGTCATTGAAATTGGAGAATAAAGAAGGGCGAACTAGGACATAGTTGGATTAGCATACTTCTTTAGAATTAGGCGAAGATCACGAGGCCATATTTATGAGATTGGCAGATATATAAATGCAGCAATAATTAAAGAAGAATATGTACCCACCTAATGAAAGCTTTTTTTTGGATTCGCTACAACAGAAAGAATGAATGAAATGATTGTAAACATCGAAAATGACGAGAATAATAGAAAAATGGCGGTTTATATAAAATGTTTAATGCTTTCTTTCCTTAATTTAAAAATAACAATATATGCGGAAGCATAAATTTAGGGTGAGACTTGTGGTATTTTTAAATAAGAACAGTATAGGGATAGAAAGATAAATGTTTGATAATTAAATCAAAAGACATGAAAAATTGGAGATGCTCCTAAATGACTTTAATCTTTACCCCTTAAGATAAATGCATGCAATACCAAGGTATAATAATTTATGCGTGGATGTGGGGATAAGTCTTCTTCGGCTTTTAAAGTTTATACAAAAAATTTACAAGAAATTAATAGATAAAAGCCAGAAGACAACATGCAGCAGTTATAGATTATAAATAATATATGCAAGCCTGGATGGAAAACTTGTAAAGACAAGAAAAGTTCTACAGAGTGTAGAATAGGAATCCACATTGCATTTGAATTATTCATTAAAACATTAAGCATAAATTAAAGCTAGTATTATCAATCAATCACGTACCACGATAAATATTGACAAAGTTTAACAACAGAAGTAAATTATAATAATTAAACTTAATTGTAGTTTTTAGTTTACATTTATAAGCTACATTGCCAATATATCACTGAAAAAGTTGATCTCTGAATTCAAGTTAATTTTAGGAACTGAAAAAGATGTCAGAATAAATAAAGAAAATGTTCTAATATTGACGAATTGATAAATAGAACTTTTGTAATTACATAAAACAACCTGCATCATGATTTTATGAAAACGGGAACTAGTGCTAAAATACAGGAAAGAAAATTTACAGTAACATTAGAAATACCTTTCCCAAATAAATTATTATATTTTTAGTATTATTTTTTTTTTTAATACTCTTGTTTATTATAAGTCTCTAATTTAGATAATTTGTTAACTTATAAAATCACATAAGTGCAGAAAATATGTGACATAATCTAAAAGTAATCAAAGAAGTAGTTGAATATGCTTTTAATTTTTAAAGTCACAAGAGCGATAATTATATTTAAAATTTTTACTATTAATTTAGCAATAAATGGATGTTAATGATAATTAATAGTTTTATAATAATACTTTATATATCAAAAAAGAGGACTGAAAAGAAATTCACTAATTGTTTGTCTTTTTATGAATTAAATCGACTTGAATAAATTGATTTAACAAGTTATAAATAATCTTAACCTCTAAATTGAATAAGTCAAATATTTTAATCAATATTCTTTATTCAAATAGATAATATTAGGAATAATTGTTAGAGGGACTCAAATGAATCTAAAAATACTCAATCTCATTTAAGATTTAAGGAATTAGATTTGCAGAATTTAAATAAAATAGTGTTATAATAATAATAATAATTTAAATGGTATAATTTCCCCCCTTCACAATTAATGACACATGGGGGAGTGATCTTTCGGGATCTTGTTTTGAACTTTAAATGGCATAACCTCCTATCATTGCCTTGTAAATGACCCTGGAATGGATTTTCTTATTAAGAAAAAAAGGTCCCAAGGCAAAGTGGGTTAAGCTCGAGATAAGTCCTTCTCTCTTCTTCTTTTTTTCTTTCTTGGCACTGTCAAAAGTTCTTGCAATGCCTCTTGTTCATCAGGATTCTTTTTTTGACCCAAATCGAATGTTGTAGAAAATTAAGAAGAATGATCAGTATCCATTAGCCTTTTGACACCCGGGGAGTTATGGGCTACTTATGCTCATACTTAACCCATAACCTTTCCTGAACATAGGACCTATCCTCATACTTTTTCTCGCTTCACATTGTGTCCTAATTTTGACACTATGAAAAGACATGGCCAAAAGAAAGATGTGCTTGGGGATGGACCATTGAATTAATCTACATTTACCCCCAAGCCATCTTAATTGAAGCATCAATCAATTAAATCTTAATTAAAAAAATTAATAGAGTTTTATATGAAATTTTTGTTATGAAAAAAAAGAACATTATAATATTTAAATTAACATTATTTAAATTTCAATAGGAGTACCTTCAGAATCCAGAAATTTTTAATTAAGAAACTTTGAAATCAAGATTATAATCAAGCTACTGAATCTATGGATTAATACTTTTTCAAACTTTGGTTTCTCAAATTAATACAACTTTAACCTTAATTCAAATCAAGCTTTTTAAATTTTGTATTTCATTTTACTAAAACAATCTTATTATTTTTATTATTAGTTTCATCTTTGAAGCTTGTCTTGTTAGAAAAATAAATAATTTAATTTTGAGTTTGTTGAATTTTTAATTCACTTTCATGATAAAATAAAATTTAATATCGACTTTTTTTTAATTTATAATGTCGAGTTTTTTTTCCATTTGTTTTAAACAAACAATTGTTCCTTAAGATGACATTAATTAAACAAATATATAAAATCTTAAATTATTATCTTTTTTTCTTATTTAATTTGGATTAATTTAAAGTTAAGAAGTGAATAATTGGCTTTTCAATCATGTTTTAAGAAATTAATCACTGCTGAATCAGAAATTGAAAAACAATAATTTGTTCACTAAAAATTATAAAAAAAACTATTAAAAAATTATTCTCAAAAACAGATCCTTCACTCTTAGATTTTTATTTACCTTACAATATTTTAATAATACTAAAATAATGAATTAAAAATAAAAATAACAATCTCATCAAAACATATTTAATTAATATAAAAATTAAATCAAGACTATATCATTAAATTTAAAATTACAGATTCATTAATCCAGAATTAATTAAGGATTATAGATTGATAAATAATATTATATTATAAAGAATATTTTAAAGTGAAAAATAATATGAAAAGGGCGGAACTAAAATATGTTATCGGTTGATAAAATAGAGGATTTTAAAAATAATAAGATAAAAACAAATGGACTTTAATTTGCAATTTTATTTAATGTAAAAAAAACAAAGAATATATCAAGCTAAATGAATCATATATCATCATCATAAGAATTGGAAATGGATTCATTAAATGAAAAATCTAATAGGTTTGATATTATAAATTATTTAATGTTAAAGAAAGTTAAGAAACAGAAATAAAGTGAATATCAAAATGATAAGATATTAAGGTTGTGGGATATTAACTTTTTGAAATATAAAGATCGATCAATTAATAAAATGCACATTAATTATAATAAATTTTCATAGAAGATGAGGAAAATAAGGTGGGAAAAATTTAAGAAATAACAAATAGATTAAAATTTCATATCTCATGTTTTGGTCTTTTATTAGAAATTAATTTAGCAATTTACTTATTAATAAAGAAAAATTGATAAAATTTATACATGTGTTGTTTTTAAAGACTAATATTTGAATTTAATATTTTTCTTGATTCTGATTATAATGTTTTAAGAAAAGAAAACGAAAATTGTTAATAATTAATAAAATTCAATTACTTTGAAATATTCTAAAGATTTATATATATGAAAAATTTTAAAGAATAATAATTATTATTTTTTCAACTTGATACTTTGCAAATATTGGCATTATTTAATATAATTCAGAAAATACGCGGTATTTAAAAGAAATCAATAATTAAATGGGCTATATAAAAATTATTAACTTAATTTTCATGTAATAGAGATTTTATGTTTGTAAAAATATTGAAAATGAGGGAATGGAAATTTAAGGTTTTAGCTTAGATATAAATTGTGTAATGTAAAAGCCTTAATTTTGTATTAGGTGTGCATTAGACAATAATACCCATAAAAATTGTTAAAATGATTGTCTACCTTTTTCATAAATTAAAATTGTTGTTGAAAATGCTCTATAAAAGATGTCAATAGAATAAAACTAATTAAATAATTCATATTCTGAAGTACAAATAAAATATATAGAATGTTTAAAATAGTAATGAATAATTTTTTTAGGAATTACTTTATTTTAAAAATAAAAAGCTTATACTTATACTCAATAAAAAAGAATGGAAAAGGCTGATTAATTCTTATTTAAAAAAATATTAACATATTTTCTAATTTTATAACAGTAGGGAATAATTTATAATAACATTAGGTATAGCCTTAATAGAACTTGATTAAGTCGGATTAGCTGTTTAATTGAGAGAAAAAATTAAGTATAAAAAATAAGTATCTAATACTCTGCTAACAAAAATTCAAAATGATATTATTGGTCTAATTTCAAAAAGTATAAAATTTTTTATATCTTAGTATTTGCTTTAGAA